AGGTGAAGATGAAACTCTTAGAGATAGTATTTTGGATTGGTGTCAATACGCTCTTGATGTTCCATTTAATACCCAGTACAAATATGGTAATTCTAATAACCAGTATGACAAGGAGGGCTATGAGTATATTAGGGAGAATGATCCGACACTGTGTCATTTAAGGCTTTATATCGAGCCTTGGGGTCTTCATGATGGCTGCTTATTTTTTGAAAACCACTTAATACTGAAGATTAAAGAACATGAAGGTGATTCAAAAAAGCCTCCTCTTGATGTTGACTATATAGACGACAAGGAATTTTATGGTATCACAAGGATAGTCAAATTTTTGAATGATACTATATAAAATCAATTCTGCTTGTATTGATTCTCTTAGATTTTGTATAGCTGTATATTATTATAAACCAAAAAACCCAGTTGGTTTAGTGAATAGTAGATTTCAGTAACTATATAAGTAACCTAAACCGAATTTGTTGATTCTAAAGCAAAGACACAAATAAGATTTGCATCAATCTGGGATCAATCCTTGTGCAGTATATTTTTATCAACAATTGAACAGCAATCGAGAATATGTATTGCACGATATGACGGAGATGAACTCGCCAATGCCCCTCGCGGACATAAATAAATTATCACATGAAATGGCTGCAATGCTCCTATATAAGACAATAATCCCCCAGACTAATGCAATTTTCTTTAGTAATTCCAATTTATCTAGAAATAATGATTTCTTTATCAGGGTTGTTTATACTACTTAGTATTCCCATTAAGTCGTTGATTTTGGTTTTGAAATTTTATAAAGTTGGAGGTTCAAGTCGAAAATATGCTAACAATTTAAAACAATCCTTACGACTTCTAGTTTTCAAAACGGCTGTTTCATTAACCGTCTTTGATGCTTATTATATCTCATTTATGAGTAATAATTTCGTTCTCAACAAGATAGTTCCTTTTTTCCATAAGTCTATTACCAGTAAACTCCCGGGGTACGGCACTAGGTACGACAAGAACTCCATTTGGTTGGTTAAACAACCAGACAGGAAGCCAGATGATCCAATCTTGATTTATATTCACGGAGGTGGCTATTTTCTTCAAACACAGCCGGACCAAATTGAATCAGTTTTGTCGATATATAAGTTGCTCAAGCCAGACAAGCAATCACGCTTGTCTATTTTACTTTTGGACTATAAATTGGCGTCCTATGGTTACCCATTCCCGGCCCAGATAAACCAGTTACACGAAACGTACCTGAGTCTAGTTACAAATGAAGGTAATACTAATATAATTTTAATGGGAGACTCTGCTGGGGGAAATTTGTCACTTGGATATTTACAGTTCTTGAAAAAGGTCCAACCACATAATATTGTCTATCCTTCCAAATTAGTGTTGATCAGTCCTTGGGTAAAGTTGCTACCAGAACTGGATGCAATGGTCCCTGGTAACTCTTTCTATGATAATAGTGACCGGGATATGATAGCATACTCTCAATTTGATGATCCGAAGAACGTATATCAGATTATAGGCGAAGGTGACCTTGATAGCTTGCAAGT